GACCAAGTGTGTTTTGAGCAAAGTCTTTAATTATCAAACATTGATACAATTACAGTTAAATGTTACATGCCTTCATATATAGTATTATCATTTAATGCCTTACACTAGGGGTGCCAATCTACGGACCGCAGGCCGGATACGGCAGTCCTTCATGTGGCCAATTTAACAAATCAGTAACTTAAAACTATAGCAACTCGGGCACAGCAAACCAGGTTGAATGCCCTGAAATTCGGTATTATGGCATTTGTTTAATTTTGTGGATTCAAAGAAATTGATTTCTTGTGTTGGTAGTCGATGCAGTGAACATGCATAAAAATTCGGAATTGTTTTTGTCCATTTTTCGATTCAATTTTTGCACGGTAGTTTTAACCATAAAGTTTTAATTACCCTTTATACTTCTTTGCCATTATACCGGTTGTGAGTTGCATAAGTTAGTACAAAATTTTATCAAGTATATTTGGTAGCAGATATACGAACAAGATTTTTTCCGCATTAAACAAAGGACACCAAAGTTAATGTCGAGAATCACTGATGTACACATACATGACTTGATCTGAACTGCCATTTAAAAAATTAACCAAATGTTAATTATCTTGGAGAGCAAAAGTAGGCCAAATTTTTGCATTAATAAGGCAAGTTCAGGCTGTTCTTTGTTGTAATGTTCTGTTTTGTTTTGGCTACGACTGAGATGTTATGCACCGGTCCCCCTAGCACAAATATTTTAATATGGACTGCTTGTCTGAAAGTTTGATCAACCCCGAGTTTCACAGCGAAGCTTTCAAAAGCTATGCACAATACCACAATAGCTATCCTCTTACAAAATTCCACGTTACGTGTACTACAACGAATCACTTACAATAAAAAGATGCAGGCAGTAACCTCACTTAGGAACATTCACGTTAATGGACAGAAACGTAGCGTAAAATATGGTAAAGCAGTCGAAGGCGTTTATAACTAGGTGTTATGTTTTCGAACAACGGAACAATCAACAAATATTTAGAGAAAATCAATTTTATTAATTGAATTGAAACATACAAGCAACGTACCCAATTATTACGTACGCTATAACAATACAGCAAAATCTTTTGCATCGTGCGCATCAAGGCTTAGCGCAAGCCGATCTAATTTATGTACCGCCCCTACTTTCACTGACAGACTGGACGACATTGACTTCCTTGTTTCGGATTAATTTTTTATTTTTTCGGTTAGTATTCTGATGACTAGCCAGGCAGAGCGCATGCGCGTAATTGTAAAAGTCTGCGTGGGATAAATATCGTAATGTGAATCTTCGTAAAGTGAGGACTGTGTATAAGCTATTGCGATAAAACAGAGGCTCTGAAGAACAAAGCTGTGTCCTCAAGGTACATTCACGGACAATTTTTCACGGAAACATAGAAGCACAATCAGAAGATAACCCAATTACCAGTTTGCTTCCGACCATTACTTTGACAGAATATTACATTTACTATATGATTAATATTTGCTACAAAATATAACTAAGTCAACAAGCAAGTCTGTGTGTATGGAGTAACTGTTGGGAAGCCCCGGAGGAAAACTCCGTGTTGCTTAGACCACGGCCTTGCCCAACACAAGTTATAATTTCGGGCTCCGCCGGGAATCGAACCCGGGACCCCAGAATTGCAAGGCCAGCGTTCTAACCGCTAGACCACCGTGGCGGTCTCTAAATACCTACTAACTCATAAATCTATTCTTTATAAATCATGAAATTATTAGAATTGTCTGACTGTTTAAAGTAAACCCAAATCCAATTTCCCTAAACTGTTTTCCCAATATCTGTAATGGTGAGACTTTCGGTATCATGGTTGATTATGAAGTTTTACTTACACCATATTGTCATTGTAATTAAAAGCAATAAAAACAAATTTCTTCTTCTTTTTCCGGTTTAACAATTTTTATACATTTTCCAATACCCTTTTACGGGTCCCCAACTTTTTAGTTGGCTTGTTCTATGGACATTCGGTAGGACTCCTTGGACGAGGGATCAGCCCGTCGCAAGACCTCTACCTGTACACAGGACAACACAACAGAAAAACGCGGACAAACATCCATGGCTTGAGTGGGATTCGAACCCACGGTCCCAGCGACCAAGCGGCACAAGGCCCACGCCTCAGACCGCTAGGCCACTGCGGACCCCTCCAGTAATGTAACACAACATAAATGTATTTTCATCGTCTCAATATCTGGCTTTTTCATGTCAAATATTATAAAGGCTTAACGGGTCATCTTAATGTTTAAATTAATACAGAGCTTTAAAACGAGGGAGAATAGCAATTACGTTGGCTTGATCTATGGACATTCGGTAGGACTCCTTGGATGAGGGATCGGCCCGTCGCAAGGCCTCTACCTGTACACAGGACAACACAACACAGAAAAACGCGGACAAACATCCATGGCTTGAGTGGGATTCGAACCCACGGTCCCAGCGACCAAGCGACACAAGGCCCACGCCTCAGACCGCTAGGCCACTGCGGACCCCTCCAGTAATGTAACACAACATAAATGTATTTTCATCGTCTCAATATCTGGCTTTTTCATGTCAAATATTATAAAGGCTTAACTGGTCATCTTAATGTTAAAATTAATATAGAGCATTAAAACGAGGGAGAACAGCAATTTTTAAAATTAACGATATATAAAAAGTGAAAATATCAGTCACTTGAAAAACATATCAACAATCCTTAAATGTAACTTCTCTCAAGTATATGCTAGAAGCCCTTCCCAGTTTATAAGCTTCAGTTGAGGGTCAGAACTTCGACTGTGATAGTCACTGCCTGCTTTATGTCCCATTATACTTGGAACTGCCATCATCCTTCACACTGACAAGGCTGCATGTAGCTGCCGAGAGAGAGAATGACCAGATTTCTAATTTGAAGTGGTCATTTGTCATTCAGGCAAACCTGCTTTTCGACACAACTGTAATTTCTGAAAATGATCGTGGATTTTATTTGTTATATATTAAGAGCGATGACCTTGTGGAAAGTACGTTTTATTACGTCATGGATCTACTGAATATGCGCCTCTGCTTGAACAACATTGGTCCGAAGAGTGTGTAACTAGATTGAGGATGTTTTCAAGGGCACCCTAACTCTACTCGCAACAACTCTTTTTACAAATATTATAGATTTGTTTATAACTGTAGTAATTTTGACCGTTCTCTACTCTGGTACGGTGGGTTCATTAATGCAAGTAGAACTCCATCGCAATTCGTTTTATTCATGCTTCAAGATTCGAACGCTTATGTAAAAATTTGTAGTTGGAGTTACATGGTGGGAAATTAAATTTCGGATTTCTGCGGATACGTAAGGCGACAAGAATGTATGCAATTTCTCTCATTACAGATCAAAGAATTTTGGAGGAAACGTGGTTGAAGTATTTTCACCGCGACCGTCGCTGGTATCTGAAGTGGATTTATTCGACGATGTATTTGTGCCTGACTGTACATCTGTTTCATTCTGAATGTTGGGTCCGATTAGTTCTTCAACTGAAGAGTCTGAATCGAAAAGACATAGTCGAGTTGTAACTTCGGAATACCAATTATTTTCTTCCGTTGTCAAATGCATTTGATTAACCTGACGGGTCAGATCTTCCTGCCATGAAGTATCCATATTTGGCATCTCTGGAAAATGGAAATTGCATTCTTCCCACACTGGTCGAGCCGAACATGATGACATCTGTTCCTCAGTTTGATACTGAAATGCACAAGAAGGGCGATCCTCTCTCCTGATGTATACATTCTGTGGATCGTCGTAGTACACCCTGGCTCCACATTCCGATGAGGATTGTTGTTGATATCTCGTCTCCTCCTGCCAAGAACACGAGTGATTATTTGCAAAGTGTGTGTTCGAAGAAGCTGTAGCACCCTCAGAAGATTCATCTGAAGCATTGTCGTACACACGTCTTGCGATAGGATGTTCAGCCCTCAAAGCAGACACGAGGTGAGGGAACTGGTTTGCTGAACTGCAAACAGGGTGCTGTGTTTGTGGCATTTGCTGCAGAAATGGTTGAAGATGGTTGAACGGTATGTTGAAGATCTCAGGCGAAGGACTGTGCAGCATTGTGAATTGCTCGTTGTGATAAGAAGGGGGGTTAGAACCCATTAAACTAGTGGAAGTATTGAGAGCAATGCCGTAATCATGTTGCAAGGCTACAGGATTCTCTGCAGGTACATAATAATTACTTTGTCCCGGTATGGGGCTCAGTTCTGGAGTGTGAAGTGTTCTGCTATGTTGCTGATACAGTGTTCCAGATTGGGATGATGCTGCCACCGGTGAAAATGAAAATGAAGATGAAGTTGAAGTTGAAGTTGAAGCAGGTGATACGCAATTATTTGGGCTGGAAGTCAGAGTAGTACTGGAAATGGTTTCAGTGCTAGATGTACGTGGCAGTGACCTGGATTCTCGCATTTTCTTGTATTTCATCCTCCTGTTCTGAAACCATATCTTGAGCTGTCGTTCCGAGAGATTAAGTTCTGCTGATAACTCTGAACGGCGTGGACGACAGAGGTAGCTGCTGCAGCCGAATTCCTTCTCCATCTCATGCAACTGGGAACTTGTGTAGGCGGTTCGAGTACGTTTGCTGCCTTTAGCTGAAGATCCTCTAGATGACTTGGTGGTGGACGTGGACTGATTAAAACCGGGTACATCTGTTGACAAAAATAAGTGTTTGTAAATCGTACATTTTGCTTATTTGATTGCGACAGATACTGATTACAATATTCATTGCTACTGAATTGTATTTCTGCACAACGGCAATAATAAATGATCATAAGGAATACTTTAATATAGACTGAGAGATGGTAATATGGGTGGAAGTCGTGCAAGACAGATGATATCAGTTAATTCACAAATGTGACTTGAAACTGAATTTATCAACATATTTGAAGTAATAATTTAATTACATCGATTAGAGTTAAAGATAAAAATATGAAAAATAAATACAAAGAAATAAGATACTAAATCAGGAGGCAATTTTTATAATTAGCATGATAATACGTAGGTAATGCTGTGTGGAGGAAGTGAGAATGGGGGATGTATAGAAATTTATATTGAATGTCAATAATATTAAACATGCGGACAGTGCCATAGTTATTATAGAATGTGATTAAAAATAATTTTTGTTTTAAATATATTATAGTCCCTGCAAATAATAATTGTAATGGTAGGAGATCCCTCACATCAAGGAAAAGGTATAGACCGAGATTCCCTGAGGACAGGGTGCTGAGAAGAATATTTATGCTTAAAGGAAACATTGAGTGTTTGGAGAAAACTGAGGATTTTTTAACTGTTGAGAAAATGGGATTGGCCGGACATATAAGAACGAGAAATATACAATTTTACGAAGAAGAAGAGGTCAAATTGTTGCAATATAGCTCAGCTTGATGTTGTATAAAGCTTTCCCGTCCTTGCGAGTCTTTGTCGTCTTGAGCTTTCTGGCACTTCGATTGTCAGATTATGTTGTTTTACTAGCTCTTCAATTGTTTTCCAATTTTTCTCATTTTTTATTCTTTTGATGTTTTAGTTTGCTGGACTTTAGACATTATGTTACTTTGGTCATATGCACCAACTCCTAAATGATATAATTTTTGAAGAATGTTTCCTTTCTTATTTTCCACAAATATATTCTGTCTTGCTTAGTTTACATGCTATGATTTCCAGTTGTGCTATTTCCGGAGATAGGGATTGGGCCCAGCAGAGTATGTTTCACCTGAAGACGGAGATAGACTCCCATCTCCGAAACGTCGTGAGTTTCTTTATTTATTTTATTTGGGATCGTCATAAACTTTCAGAATTGAGTTACGAAGTTTTGATCAGAAAATCTGAAGGAAAGAGATCACATGGAAGACCTAGGCATGGTTGGGGAATATATTAATATGAATATTAAATAAATTCAGTGGGACCGGATTAATTTATCTTGGGTTCCAATGAAGGGGAAATGGGGTACGTGTAAAGACGATAATGTAATTACAAATTTCATAAAATTCGAGAAAACTCTTTATGAGCTGTGCGATACAATATTCCAAAAAAGGTCTCTGCTGCGTGGAATTAGTATTGTTTACGCAATAAAACATAATTAAAGAGATTAAATGCATAAGTAAATCAGTAAATCAATAATTGCATTTATGAGTGAGACAAAAGAATTTTGTTACAGGAGTTCATGTTAGACCACCGTATTACATACGAAAGTATAAGATAATATTAATATTAAATAAATACATGTGTTATGTGTAATATACGTGATATTATTTTGTTAATCTATAAATTAGCTTAAAGTGTCTCTCGTTAAGGTCCAGTAGTGTAAGGTTTTGTAATGACGGTAATTAAACATCAAATTTCATAAACACAGGAATATTTCATAAACTGGGGAAATGTTGGTTTCCCAACAGAGGTTTTACAGGTCTGATCATAAACCTTTGAATAATTAAAACGCATATCCGAAATTGCTTTCAATGAGACAGCGCTTCAAACCCTTCTCGCAGGGATCAGTATCAGTCCGGTGAATGATTTTAATTCAAACTTCATAAGCCTTGTGCATCACCCTTTTCCATATTGAATGGCAGTAAAAAGACAGACAGAACTGCAAGCAATCGATGGGGAAATATGAGAGTTTGGGTGACTATTTGTGTGATGGAGGAGGAGGTTTATGAATAAAACAGAAGAACCTAAACAGGCGAAGACAAGGAACAGTCGAGCGGTCTGCGTGATAGGAGTGTGGGGGTGGAACTTTGAAGACAAGTAAAAAGGGAATATTTTATACTTTTGCCTTAGAAGTGAGGGTCGAATGGCGTAAACAAAGGGAAAAAAGTACGACAAAATGACGCGTATTTATTTTTTAATCGAACGTGAAGGAAATATATGTTTTAATTCTTCTACATAAAACATGGCATGTTTTTGAAAGTAGATTTATTTGGAAAAAAATGCAAGCCCAATTAAAGAAACTGTGTGTGTGTATTTTACTTTTGTGAACGCTTCGATAATCGGAATTATGTTAAAAGTTTTGTCTTTGAATAATTAAGTTGAATTGACAAATACAGCCCAACTTATAGGTTTTACTGGCCTATTTTTGAGGGAAGTGGAATTATACTGTGTTTACGCTGCAAATGCGGTCATTTGGCTAGAATATTTCTAAACCAGCAGGTAACTGAATAATCACAGAACTCTCTTGAGTCACTAAATTCCCTCCATTTTGCCAAGGCTTTTCTCGTCCTTTATGAAACCAGACAGTTCGTTACCAAATTCACAACAGCGAACTTCTAGACTGCATCCTGGGCAAGATGCTTAAGTTACAGCTTCCACATCCAGTCTGTTTAAGATTCACTTTTTGTTACCTTCTACAACTTGGTCCCCAAATGTGATTTTTCTTTTAGGTTTTCCGACAAGATTTTCGTACATAGTTCTATCTCTGGCATGCATGCCACATGATCCGCCCATATCATTTTTCTTTATTTTGATAGCTAGTGGTTAGCAGACTACACTTCAAGAAATTAATAGTTATCATCCTGGAAAGTGTTTCAAGACCGACTAAAACCCACGCGTTGCAGAGACTGCTCTTGCAGACTGTCCGAACATAGTGGCATGTCGCCGTATCCATAAATCTGTCCAAACATCTTCGGAAACCTCAAAGCGATAACGAAAGAAGTTAATCCTCATGAGATTTAAAGGTTCCCGTTGCGGTCACAGTTAAACTTACTTAAAATAGCGAGCCGCAACGAATAAATCTTCCCCGTTGTCAACTCCTTTCCTTTGTCAATTCCTCTGCCAGAGGTCTGAAAGAAGGAGTCTCAATTTTGCAGGTCTGAGGAATGTTGGACGAGAATCCGTTCTCACGGTGTCTCTAGCTTCCGGGAGGCCTATTTCCGCCTCGCGTACTGAAGGCTACTGTCACTGACCTTGTGACACCGGTGACCGCACTCTGACACATGTCAGTCGAAGTGAATGGAATTCTACAAAGTCTGGTTTCGTTAAGATTTGTAAAAGTACATTTTGTAACATTTCAGGTTAGTACGGTGGCGAATATGTAGATGTGTTCTGTTTTGTTGTGATGTGATGTCTCCATTGTACCCTCATATTTACGAGTCTAATACCAATTAAATCGTCCACCTGGATCAAAATGTCTCGAAAAGAATGAGTGATAACAGCAGAAATAGTGTGCCTGTTTGACAATGTTTTAGACGCAATCTTGACGCCTGTGAACAGTAACTTACTAACCAAACAAGCGACAAAAACAAAGACAAAATACAAGGAAAGCACCATATAATGTAAATCATCCATATAATGTAGGATGTCTATGTATATGCTATATGCCCTAGGCTCTGTGTATAGCTCTATAAGGGCGTGTAATTGTATTAAGCATGTTGTGACTGTTAAATAGGCAAGAAATTATTTTGTAAGAGCAAAGTGACACACAAAATAATCTTATAAATTATTATAATTTGAAAAATTTATCTCTATGCTTCAACATTGCTCTTTCAATACGGGAAAGGGCGTGGAGATAAAGATCCACGCCTTCTTAGTAGCCTAGGCACTGGGCAGAGATTTGCTTCAAACATTCACGCTCTGGACTCTTTAACCTCGAGTAAAGAGACAATTAGCCGTGGACCTGGACTAAACGCGGTCGCGAAGAGAAAAATCCGTTCCCCGCCGGATATTCAACTCCCATCTATATTCAGTTACTTTAATGAGTCGTGTCCATGCGTCGCACACATTTAGATTTTAATCCTGCCAAAATATTCAAGTAACCTGCGTACAAACGTTTATGAAATGATAAGGTTAAGATATTTTTTTTAAATCTAAAACTTCTTGACGATGGTGAAGAGTCATTTGAATAAAAATTTCCTTGGATATTATCCATCGTCTAGTAAAATATGAAATATGAAACGTAAAACGACGTTTCGGAGATGGGACTCTGATAGAGCTAATCCCTATCTCCGGACCGGAGATAGGGATTAGCTCTATCTAGTGGGCCCAACTGTGTAGGAACCTGAAGACGGAGACAGAGTCCCATCTCCGAAACGTCGTTTTACGTTTTATATTTCATATTTTACTAGACGATGGATAATATACAAGGAAATTTTTATTCATATTTTTTTTTCTCATAAGTCTGTATTACGAAATGAAAATAGTAAAAGATCCAGGGTCTTCCCTTCTATCAGGTTGTCACTTAACCCTCGTGCTAGGGAGACGAGATCCCTCCCTCCTCTTGCTGTCAACATGTCAACATGCAATGATTCTCGACCAATACGAAACTTGTCCTGCCATTGTAGCACATCCTACTGCTTGTAGATAACATCTGTTGCAGGTTTAACCTCCTCTGTTGATGTGTTTATCCCATGATAACTATAATGCATGTGTATTGCTTGCTTTTCCCCCCACCTCATGCTACTGGACACATAGACAAATAGTTACTGATAAGATAATAACTTTACACCGACTCTCACAGAACTGATTGGTCGCTTCCACCATTGCTGCTTCTTTGATGGAGCCCACTACACGCTTTTATATTTTACTGCTTCGTATGTAAAACTATATCCAGGACATATGAACAAAAGAAACGTGCTATAATTTCATTTGAGTTGGTAAAGTTGTCCCTGATGTTTAATTAAGCACTGGGCCGTGAGGCATATTTGAGAGCGCGTGTCTAATTCTG